ATAGGAAGGAATACCTGACGATCGTCTCGTGCAATCCAACCGCATTCCGCCGTAACATCTCAAATTGCAGCAAAAATGCAAAGACTTACACTTATTTACATTTATTTTAGGACAGGCAAACCACACGAAGCAATTAAATTTTGACGATAAAAAACTGGAACGCTGATAAAATCCCTGTATTTGTGAAAATTGGTTTTCATTTTATTATTGGCCTATTATAAATTCATTACAAGAAAAGGGTCGGAGCTATATACTAATTATTCGATACTACTTACAATTACTAAAATTTTGGATTATAGTCTAGCCTTATCAAGGCTATATCATTTGTGTATGTCCTTTTGTTATAGTTCGGATGAATCATTATCTTTTCCGCTCGGAAATCTTGCACTTTTGGAGCGCAGTATCCTTCTTCGCAGTCCTCCGTGTTTCGTAAATCGTATTCTCCTAGCCTAACTCCAATTCTAAAACAATTAAAATAAACACTCGACTAATTATAAATACCACGTAGTTATTACACCATTTCCAATTATTTATTTAACTCGGATATTAAAACCTATCTACTTTGAAACTTTTTTTGCATTTGCAATTAGGAAATAATGAATCCATTACATCATATATTTAAGTAGCGATATTAACTTTCTAGTCAAAAGATATAAATAAGTACAGTGTTTAAAATGTTGAAAAAACAATAAGGAGTGTTTCAAAATTGTAGTCAAGATTTCAGGGAAACATTTTCAACATGGAAGAAAGACTCAACAAACGCTTCGTTGCCGATCTATAAAGTATTATGGTTCGCCTTAGTAACGATTACATTTTCCATTGTTTCGTCAAAAGTTTTAATTAGTAATTGAAGACCATGAGTGAGTAAGTATTGCAGATGCAAATAAATTACAATGGAATAAAAAGTTTGTAAACAAAATTGAAAATTGGCTTTCTGTATTAGAATTGAAATGCGAAGAAAAAGGAAAATGTGCATTCAAAAACGCTTTAATTTTGAACCAAATACCTCAAAAACCTATAACAAATTAGTGGGAAAACAGGTTTAATTTCTACATGGAAGCATGGGTAACCAAAATCTTGTTGATGAATTTGTTAACAATAAGAAACTAAATTCTTATAATAGTCGATTATAAAAAAAAACATCGCCAGTCGAAAAATATTCGAAACTCCTGATCGGGGTGACCATGATCTCTCTCCAACCGAAATTTTGGTAATTAAATATATTCACGTTCAGCTTTAAGTGAAAACTTTAATTCTTTTAAAATGTTTAAGTCTTAAATTTGAAGTTACTTATTCATATAGTCGATTTGAATTATAGCTATTACTAGTTTAGTGCCTAGTGTTAATAAAGACGCCAGCACCTAAATAATTATAAGTCAGCTACTTACATAGACATAGTAATTATAATACAATGTGCTGCGGCGAGTATATATCTGGCATTTATTAGGGTACCTCCACAACGAAAATCTATTCATCTCCTAGAAATAAAATCAATTACTATATTGCGCGATTTTATATTTTCATCCAACTTAGCTTTCGTCTTAAAAAGTGATTTGCCTAATTTATTTTTAGATCATACTTTCAAAATTATTGGTCATCATAGGTTTCAAAGTGACAAAAATTCGATACAATTCTCTTGGTTATATTATTTAATGATTCAAACACAGATATGTTTCTAAACATATGTAATGGGTGTTTTTTTCCAATGTATAGAACTTTAAGTTGGCATAACTGTTCAAGATGGCGACCGATTTAACAGCTGTCAAGTGATTTATTCTCGCACAAACAAAACTGCCGCATTTGGAGCGAAGCTAATCCTCAAGTGTATGTCAAAACACCGTTAGGGTAAACTTGCCTAAATCGTACTTGCGCGTAAATCGTACCACCTAAATTACTCAGAATTTATAAAACATACAGCGGCATCTGTCGGTGATTACTTGAGTTAGTGCTAAGCTAACCAGCTGTGATGCTCCGAAGCAGTGATTCCTGTACGAGATGTAATTTTACTGATAAAAGTAAGTTTTTTTCAGTTTTCTTGTAAAATTTTAGCGTTTTTTGTAAGCGTTTTTTAAGAATTCTATAAACATAAAATTGTGAATCATACGGTTTTCAAAAATTGCATTTCTTTACAATTCATTTGGTGGTAGAATTAGCGCGCAGCGTTTTCTCATAACCTAAAAGCGTTTAGTGTATTTTGAAGAGGACTTTGAGCGTAAATCGTACTTTATTATACATCCTAATTCGTACCGGTACAAATTAGGAATACGAAATAAAATTGTTTTCATTTTGGTTTTAACCAATCAATTTCTGTTTATACATATTTGTTAAGTTTTTAATTTTATCATTTTATGAGAGGAAAAAATAAAAATAATTTTTTTTAGCACACAATGGCAAAACGACAATATAATAAATGGTCTATGCAAAATATGAATGCAGCAATAGAAGATTTTAATAATGGGAAATTACGATTCAATGAAGTATGCAGGACATATGGTATTCCAAAACCGACCTTTCGACGTCATTTAAAAGGTCTAAATTCTCAGAAAAAAATAGGAAAACCAAGCGATTTGACGGAGCAAATGGAGACCGAATTGGTTCATCACATTTTGGATTTGGAGTCTAGATTCTTTGGGTTAACTATCACAGATTTAAGACATCTAGCATTTCAGTTGGCAGAAAAATACAAACTTCCGCACCGATTTAATAAGGTGCAAGAGTTAGCCGGTTGGAAATGGTATTACAAATTTATGAAAAACCACCCAGAAATTGCCTTAAGAATGCCTGAACCAACATCAATGGCACGATGTAAAGGATTTAACAAAAACATTGTATCAGAATTTTTCGACAAATACGAAAAGATTCTAGAAGATTTCCAATTTGGACCTAACGAAATTTTTAACATGGATGAGACAGGTCTTAATACCGTTCATAAGCCTGCTAAAATATTAGCGTTAAAAGGAAAACATCAAGTCGGAGCAGTCACTAGCGGAGAACGTGGAATTAACACTACATGCGTTTGTTGCATGAATGCTAGTGGAGACTTTATTCCTCCAATGTTCATCTTCAAACGCAAAAGAATGACGGATATCCTTAAACGTGGTGGCCCGCCTAAAACGCTGTACACTTGTTCTGAGAGTGGGTGGATTGTCGCTTCAATCTTTGTCGAATGGTTACAACATTTCATAAATGATTTAAAATTGGAAAAACAATTGAATCATAAAATTCTATTAATATTGGATGGACATACCACACATACTAAGAATCTAGAAGCCATAAACCTTGCTAGAGAATACGGTATCGTAATGTTTTCTTTGCCGGCGCACACAACACACAAACTACAGCCTTTGGATAGATCATTCTTTAAGTCATTAAAAACTAATTTTAACAAAGAATGTGCAGTTTGGATAAGAAATCACCCTGGTGAAACATATCGGAAATTTTGGGAGTGGCATATCCTAGATCGGTTTGTATGGACATCGCTATGAAAGGTTTTGAAACTTGTGGATTGTGGCCTTGCAACAGGCATCGAATACCAGATGAAAAATATGTCGTGCTCGATGAAAATGAAATGACCCAAACTGATATGCAACTTTCGGATCCTGGTCCTTCCACAGCGAATGTTTCTACAAATGCACACGATCAAACTGACGCATCCATCCGCACGGTTATTGAGAATTTGTCACCAATATATCGACTTCCACCGCAAACATCTAAGAAAACAAGCAAGGCCGTAGTCCTTACTGAGAGTCCATATAAAAATATGTTAGAAAATAAATTAGATGGACCAACAAAACCAAAGAAACGCTCTTTAATAGAAAAGAATTCTAATACTTGGTATTGCATTTTATGCCGCAAAGATGAAGAAAAATCAATGATTCAATGCATCAAATGCAACATATGGGTGCACGACAACTGTGCAGGTGTAGGAAAAGTCACATATTCTTACACTTGCCAACATTGCATCAGAAGTACGATTTAGGAATAGTGCGGTACGAGTTAAGACATATGGTCTTAAATCGTACTTTTTTCATTATTTTTTAAATATTTTATTTTGAGTAGTAAAACAGGGTTTCTTTAAGTATTAACACATGTCTAATGTTTATTCTATTAAAGTTTTAACAACCAAAATTTCATAGTGTTTGATGCATTTTTGAGAAATCTACAACAAGTTGTTCAAAACTGGTACGATTTGGGCAAGTTTACCCTACATCCACAAAAACTGACAGTTTGGTGCGCTTTATGGGCTGGTGGAATCATTGGTATAGAGCTATGATTACTAACTCATTCATCCCTGAATTGAATAACCATGATGTCGAAGAGATGTGGTTTCAACAAGACAGCGCAACATGTCACACACCTCGTGCCACAATCGATTTATTGAAAGACACGTTTGGTGACCGCCTAATTTCACGTTTTGGACCTGTGAATTGGCCTCCAAGATCTTGTGATTTAACACCGCTACTTTCTGTGGTGCTATGTAAAGTCATTGGTCTATGCGGATAAGCCACAAACGCTTGACCATTTGCAAGACAACATTCGCCGTGTTATTGCCGATATACGGTAACAAATGTTGGAAAAATTAATCGAAAATTGGATGTCTCGATTGGACTACATCCGCGCCAGCCGTGGCAATCGTATGCCAGAAACCATATTTAAAATGTAATGCCACAAGATTACCTTTCGGATAAATAAAATTCATGTCAATCGAATAATCCATCGTTGTTTTATTGCAACTTAAAGTTCTATACATCCAAAAAAAACACCCCTTACTTATAATAGAAAAAAACATAACGCAGCAATTTCTAAGTTTCTTTTTTAAATTAGCATGGGTTATATAATACCAAATAGCGGCGGTTGTAAAATGTAAATGTGTAATGTAATATAAAATTAATCAGTAGATATTTAAATTTTCTATAAAAAAATCTTTAAGCGTACCTGTGTTGTATGCTATGAGGGCCATCCATGGAAATTCTTCCAATCCTGTTTGCTTTAAACGACATTCATTCTTCCATGTTATCCAAAATCCATTGGATATAACTCCCAACCCTGGTATAAATACCCGGTTGCCCATCGGCACCGCATTGTCTCGGGCCAAATGATACAATTCCGTACTGTATGTATCTAGGCGAGCCGTCAACAAGTCCGACATACTTCATCGGTCCACCGCTGTCTCCTCCACATGAGTCTCTACCATTGTATCCACCGGCACATATTTGCTGATCCGTAATTGGAGCAAACTGTTGGTACACTTTATGGCAAACAGACAGTGACAACACGGGTACTGATACTTTGAGAAGTATTGGGCTTTTGTAACCTAAAATCATTTCCGCTCATCACAATGTCGCTACATATAATAAATATGGAATACAATAAAAAATGATAGAATTAAAATTAGTTTAAACTGTATGTTTCAAACTGCAGAAATTTTATGTAACGGAAAGCCTTCTTAAATAAAAAGTCACCCGAACATTTCCATGAAAATGCGAAATAATTTTCGTTAACTTAAATAAAAATACTACTTTTTCGCAAAAAATTTAGGTCTTGAGTTTTGATTTTTTCAATTACCCTTGTTGTCGCTATGGAAAGAGTTGATCAACAGCTGTTACACTGATTTAGCAACTATTAGGAATATTTGTAATTTTGAAATTTAAAGAAAATTTTGCTAGAACATGTAACTGTACCTTTTTCCGTAGCACCCCATCCGGAGACGATAGCCGATTTTCCCGTTAGGTCGTCATTAATTTCGCTCACCGGAAGACATATCGGTTTAATATTGGCTGAAATCATTTGCACATTACTAGACGTAATACTAAACTAGTTAAAAATTTTGACGATAAAAATCTGCAACGCTGATAAAATCTGTATATTTGTGAAAATTGGTTTTCATTTTATTATTGGCCTATTATAAATTCATTACAAGAAAAGGGTCGGAGCTATATACTAATTATTCAATACTACTTACAATAACTAAAATTTGCATTATAGTCTAGCCTTATCAACGCTATATCATTTGTGTATGTCCGTTTGTTATAGTTCGGATGAATCATCATCTTTTCCGCTCGGAAATCTTGCACTTTTGGAGCGCAGTATCCTTCTTCGCAGTCCTCCGTGTTTCGTAAATCGTATTCTCCTAGCCTAACTCCAATTCTAAAACAATTAAAATAAACACTCGACTAATTATAAATACCACGTAGTTATTACACCATTTCCAATTATTTATTTAGCTCGGATATTAAAACCTATCTACTTTGAAACTTTTTTTTGCATTTGCAATTAGGAAATAATGAATCCATTACATCATATATTTAAGTACCGATATTAACTTTAAGCAACATGAGAAATGATTAACTTTCCAGTCAAAAGATATAAATAAGTACAGTGTTTAAAATGTTGAAAAAACAATAAGGAGTGTTTCAAAATTGTAGTCAAGATTTCAGGGAAACATTTTCAACATGGAAGAAAGACTCAACAAACGCTTCGTTGCCGATCCATAGAGTATTATGGTTCGCCTTAGTAACGATTACATTTTCCATTGTTTCGTCAAAAGTTTTAATTAGTAAGTGAAGACCATGAGTGAGTAAGTATTGCAGATGCAAATAAATTACAACGGAATAAAAAGTTTGTAAACAAAATTGAAAATTGGCTTTCTGTATTAGAATTGAAATGCGAAGAAAAAGGAAAATGTGCATTCAAAAACGCTTTAATTTTGAACCAAATACCTCAAAAACCTATAACAAATTAGTGGGAAAACAGGTCTTATTTCAACATGGAAGCATGGATCCCCAAAATCTTGTTGATGAATTTGTTAACAATAAGAAACTAAATTCTTATAATAGTCGATTATAAAAAAAAACATCGCCAGTCGAAAAATATTCGAAACTCCTGATCGGGGTGATCATGATCTCTCTCCGACCGAAATTTTGGTAATCAAATATATTCACGTTCAGCTTTAAGTGAAAACTTTAATTCTTTTAACTTGTTTAAGTCTTAAATTTATTCAAATTTTATAAAAATAGCACGTCTGAGTTTGAAGTTACTTATTCATATAGTCGATTTCAATTATAGCTATTACTACTTTAGTGCCTAGTGTTAATAGAGACGCCAGCACCTAAATAATTACAAGTCAGCTACTTACATAGACATAGTATTTATAATACAATGTGCTGCGGTGAGTATATATCTGGCATTTATTAGGGTACCTCCACAACGAAAATCTATTCCATCTCCTAGAAATAAAATCAATTACTATATTGCGCGATTTTATATTTTCATCCAACTTAGCTTTCGTCTTAAAAAGTGATTTGCCTAATTTATTTTTAGATCATACTTTCAAAATTAATGGTCATCGTATTGACAAAGTGACAAAAATTCGATATAATTCTCTTGGTTATATTATTTAATGATTCAAACACAGATATGTTTCTAAACATATGTAATGGGTGTTTTTTTCCAATGTATAGAACTTTAAGTTGGCATAACTGTTTAAGATGGCGACCGATTTAACAGCTGTCAAGTGATTTATTCTCGCACAAACAAAATTGCCGCATTTGGAGCGAAGCTAATCCTCAAGTGTATGTCAAAGCACCGTTAGGGTAAACTTGCCTAAATCGTACTTGCGCGTAAATCGTACCACCTAAATTACTCAGAATTTATAAAACATACAGCGGCATCTGTCGGTGATTACTTGAGTTAGTGCTAAGCTAACCAGCTGTGGTGCTCCGAAGCAGTGATTCCTGTGCGAGATGTAATTTTACTGATAAAAGTAAGTTTTTTTCAGTTTTCTTGTAAAATTTTAGCGTTTTTTGTAAGCGTTTTTTAAGAATTCTATAAACATAATATTGTGAATCATACGGTTTTCAAAAATTGCATTTCTTTACAATTCATTTGGTGGTAGAATTAGCGCGCAGGGTTTTCTCATAACCTAAAAGCGTTAAGTGTATTTTGAAGAGGACTTTGAGCGTAAATCGTACTTTATTATACATCCTAATTCGTACCGGTACAAATTAGGAATACGAAATGAAATTGTTTTCATTTTGGTTTTAACCAATCAATTTCTGTTTATACATATTTGTTAAGTTTTTAATTTTATCATTTTATGAGAGGAAAAAATAAAAATAATTTTTTTTAGCACACAATGGGAAAACGACAATATAATAAATGGTGTATGGAAAATATGAATGCAGCAATACAAGATTTTAATAATGGGAAATTACGATTCAATGAAGTATGCAGGACATATGGTATTCCAAAACCGACCTTTCGACGTCATTTAAAAGGTCTAATTTCTCAGAAAAAAATAGGAAAACCAAGCGATTTGACGGAGCAAATGGAGACCGAATTGGTTCATCACATTTTGGATTTGGAGTCTAGATTCTTTGGGTTAACTATCACAGATTTAAGACATCTAGCATTTCAGTTGGCAGAAAAATACAAACTTCCGCACCGATTTAATAAGGTGCAAGAGTTAGACGGTTGGAAATGGTATTACAAATTTATGAAAAACCACCCAGAAATTGCCTTAAGAATGCCTGAACCAACATCAATGGCACGATGTAAAGGATTTAACAAAAACATTGTATCAGAATTTTTCGACAAATACGAAAAGATTCTAGAAGATTTCCAATTTGGACCTAACGAAATTTTTAACATGGATGAGACAGGTCTTAATACCGTTCATAAGCCTGCTAAAATATTAGCGTTAAAAGGAAAACATCAAGTCGGAGCAGTCACTAGCGGAGAACGTGGAATTAACACTACATGCGTTTGTTGCATGAATGCTAGTGGAGACTTTATTCCTCCAATGTTCATCTTCAAACGCAAAAGAATGACGGATATCCTTAAACGTGGTGGCCCGCCTAAAACGCTGTACACTTGTTCTGAGAGTGGGTGGATTGTCGCTTCAATCTTTGTAGAATGGTTACAACATTTCATAAATCATTTAAAATTGGAAAAACAATTGAATCATAAAATTCTATTAATATTGGATGGACATACCACACATACTAAGAATCTAGAAGCCATAAACCTTGCTAGAGAATACGGTATCGTAATGTTTTCTTTGCCGGCGCACACAACACACAAACTACAGCCTTTGGATAGATCATTCTTTAAGTCATTAAAAACTAATTTTAACAAAGAATGTGCAGTTTGGATAAGAAATCACCCTGGTGAAACATATCTGAAATTTTGGGAGTGGCATATCCTAGATCGGTTTGTATGGACATCGCTATGAAAGGTTTTGAAACTTGTGGATTGTGGCCTTGCAACAGGCATCGAATACCAGATGAAAAATATGTCGTGCTCGATGAAAATGAAATCCTGGTCCTTCCACAGCGAATGTTTCTTCAAATGCACACGATCAAACTGACGCATCCATCCGCACGGTTATTGAGAATTTGTCACCAATATATCGACTTCCACCGCAAACATCTAAGAAAACAAGCAAGGCCGTAGTCCGTACTGAGAGTCCATATAAAAATATGTTAGAAAATAAATTAGATGGACCAACAAAACCAAAGAAACGCTCTTTAATAGAAAAGAATTCTAATACTTGGTATTGCATTTTATGCCGCAAAGATGAAGAAAAATCAATGATTCAATGCATCAAATGCAACATATGGGTGCACGACAACTGTGCAGGTGTAGGAAAAGCCACATATTCTTACACTTGCCAACATTGCATCAGAAGTACGATTTAAGAATAGTGCGGTACGAGTTAAGACATATGGTCTTAAATCGTACTTTTTTCATTATTTTTTAAATATTTTATTTTGAGTAGTAAAACAGGGTTTCTTTAAGTATTAACACATGTCTAATGTTTATTCTATTAAAGTTTTAACAACCAAAATTTCATAGTGTTTGATGCATTTTTGAGAAATCTACAACAAGTTGTTCAAAACTGGTACGATTTGGGCAAGTTTACCCTACATCCACAAAAACTGACAGTTTGGTGCGCTTTATGGGCTGGTGGAATCATTGGTATAGAGCTATGATTACTAACTCATTCATCCCTGAATTGAATAACCATGATGTCGAAGAGATGTGGTTTCAACAAGACGGCGCAACATGTCACACACCTCGTGCCACAATCGATTTATTGAAAGACACGTTTGTTGACCGCCTAATTTCACGTTTTGGACCTGTGAATTGGCCTCCAAGATCTTGTGATTTAACACCGCTACTTTCTGTGGTGCTATGTAAAGTCATTGGTCTATGCGGATAAGCCACAAACGCTTGACCATTTGCAAGACAACATTCGCCGTGTTATTGCCGATATACGGTAACAAATGTTGGAAAAATTAATCGAAAATTGGATGTCTCGATTGGACTACATCCGCGCCAGCCGTGGCAATCGTATGCCAGAAACCATATTTAAAATGTAATGCCACAAGATTACCTTTCGGATAAATAAAATTCATGTCAATCGAATAATCCATCGTTGTTTTATTGCAACTTAGAGTTCTATACATCCAAAAAAAACACCCCTTACTTATAATAGAAAAAAACATAACGCAGCAATTTCTAAGGTTTTTTTTTAAATTAGCATGGGTTATATAATACCAAATAGCGGCGGTTGTAAAATGTAAATGTGTAATGTAATATAAAATTAATCAGTAGATATTTAAATTTTCTATAAAAAAATCTTTAAGCGTACCTGTGTTGTATGCTATGAGGGCCATCCATGGAAATTCTTCCAATCCTGTTTGCTTTAAACGACATTCATTCTTCCATGTTATCCAAAATCCATTGGATATAACTCCCAACCCTGGTGTAAATACCCGGTTGCCCATCGGCACCGCATTGTCTCGGGCCAAATGATACAATTCCGTACTGTATGTATCTAGGCGAGCCGTCAACAAGTCCGACATACTTCATCGGTCCACCGCTGTCTCCTCCACATGAGTCTCTACCATTGTATCCACCGGCACATATTTGCTGATCCGTAATTGGAGCAAACTGTTGGTACACTTTATGACAAACAGACAGTGTCAACACGGGTACTGATACTTTGAGAAGTATGGGGCTTTTGTAACCTAAAATCATTTCCGCTCATCACAATGTCGCTACATATAATAAATATGGAATACAATAAAAAATGATAGAATTAAAATTAGTTTAAACTGTATGTTTCAAACTGCAGAAATTTTATGTAACGGAAAGCCTTCCTAAATAAAAAGTCACCCGAACATTTCCATGAAAATGCGAAATAATTTTCGTTAACTTAAATAAAAATACTACTTTTTCGCAAAAAATTTAGGTCTTGAGTTTTGATTTTTTCAATTACCCTTGTTGTCGCTATGGAAAGAGTTGATCAACAGCTGTTACACTGATTTAGCAACTATTAGGAATATTTGCAATTTTGAAATTTAAAGAAAATTTTGCTAGAACATGTAACTGTACCTTTTTCCGTAGCACCCCATCCGGAGACGATAGCCGATTTTCCCGTTAGGTCGTCATTAATTTCGCTCACCGGAAGACATATCGGTTTAATATTGGCTGAAATCATTTGCACATTACTAGACGTAATACTAAACTAGTTAAAAATTTTGACGATAAAAATCTGCAACGCTGATAAAATCTGTATATTTGTGAAAATTGGTTTTCATTTTATTATTGGCCTATTATAAATTCATTACAAGAAAAGGGTCGGAGCTATATACTAATTATTCAATTCTACTTACAATAACTAAAATTTGCATTATAGTCTAGCCTTATCAACGCTATATCATTTGTGTATGTCCGTTTGTTATAGTTCGGATGAATCATCATCTTTTCCGCTCGGAAATCTTGCACTTTTGGAGCGCAGTATCCTTCTTCGCAGTCCTCCGTGTTTCGTAAATCGTATTCTCCTAGCCTAACTCCAATTCTAAAACAATTAAAATAAACACTCGACTAATTATAAATACCACGTAGTTATTACACCATTTCCAATTATTTATTTAGCTCGGATATTAAAACCTATCTACTTTGAAACTTTTTTTGCATTTGCAATTAGGAAATAATGAATCCATTACATCATATATTTAAGTACCGATATTAACTTTAAGCAACATGAGAAATGATTAACTTTCCAGTCAAAAGATATAAATAAGTACAGTGTTTAAAATGTTGAAAAAACAATAAGGAGTGTTTCAAAATTGTAGTCAAGATTTCAGGGAAACATTTTCAACATGGAAGAAAGACTCAACAAACGCTTCGTTGCCGATCCATAGAGTATTATGGTTCGCCTTAGTAACGATTACATTTTCCATTGTTTCGTCAAAAGTTTTAATTAGTAAGTGAAGACCATGAGTGAGTAAGTATTGCAGATGCAAATAAATTACAACGGAATAAAAAGTTTGTAAACAAAATTGAAAATTGGCTTTCTGTATTAGAATTGAAATGCGAAGAAAAAGGAAAATGTGCATTCAAAAACGCTTTAATTTTGAACCAAATACCTCAAAAACCTATAACAAATTAGTGGGAAAACAGGTCTTATTTCAACATGGAAGCATGGGTCCCCAAAATCTTGTTGATGAATTTGTTAACAATAAGAAACTAAATTCTTATAATAGTCGATTATAAAAAAAAACATCGCCAGTCGAAAAATATTCGAAACTCCTGATCGGGGTGACTATGATCTCTCTCCGACCGAGATTTTGGTAATTAAATATATTCACGTTCAGCTTTAAGTGAAAACTTTAATTCTTTTAACTTGTTTAAGTCTTAAATTTATTCAAATTTTATAAAAATAGCACGTCTGAATTTGAAGTTACTTATTCATATAGTCGATTTCAATTATAGCTATTACTACTTTAGTGCCTAGTGTTAATAGAGACGCCAGCACCTAAATAATTACAAGTCAGCTACTTACATAGACATAGTATTTATAATACAATGTGCTGCGGTGAGTATATATCTGGCATTTATTAGGGTACCTCCACAACGAAAATCTATTCCATCTCCTAGAAATAAAATCAATTACTATATTGCGCGATTTTATATTTTCATCCAACTTAGCTTTCGTCTTAAAAAGTGATTTGCCTAATTTATTTTTAGATCATACTTTCAAAATTAATGGTCATCGTAGTGACAAAGTGACAAAAATTCGATACAATTCTCTTGGTTATATTATTTAATGATTCAAACACAGATATGTTTCTAAACATATGTAATGGGTGTTTTTTACCAATGTATAGAACTTTAAGTTGGCATAACTGTTCAAGATGGCGACCGATTTAACAGCTGTCAAGTGATTTATTCTCGCACAAACAAAACTGCCGCATTTGGAGCGAAGCTAATCCTCAAGTGTATGTCAAAGCACAGTTAGGGTAAACTTGCCTAAATCGCACTTGCGCGTAAATCGTACCACCTAAATTACTCAGAATTTATAAAACATACAGCGGCATCTGTCGGTGATTACTTGAGTTAGTGCTAAGCTAACCAGCTGTGGTGCTCCGAAGCAGTGATTCCTGTGCGAGATGTAATTTTACTGATAAAAGTAAGTTTTTTTCAGTTTTCTTGTAAAATTTTAGCGTTTTTTGTAAGCGTTTTTTAAGAATTCTATAAACATAATATTGTGAATCATACGGTTTTCAAAAATTGCATTTCTTTACAATTCATTTGGTGGTAGAATTAGCGCGCAGCGTTTTCTCATAACCTAAAAGCGTTAAGTGTATTTTGAAGAGGACTTTGAGCGTAAATCGTACTTTATTATACATCCTAATTCGTACCGGTACAAATTAGTAATACGAAATGAAATTGTTTTCATTTTGGTTTTAACCAATCAATTTCTGTTTATACATATTTGTTAAGTTTTTAATTTTATCATTTTATGAGAGGAAAAAATAAAAATAATTTTTTTTAGCACACAATGGGAAAACGACAATATAATAAATGGTGTATGGAAAATATTAATGCAGCAATACAAGATTTTAATAATGGGAAATTACGATTCAATGAAGTATGCAGGACATATGGTATTCCAAAACCGACCTTTCGACGTCATTTAAAAGGTCTAATTTCTCAGAAAAAAATAGGAAAACCAAGCGATTTGACGGAGCAAATGGAGACCGAATTGGTTCATCACATTTTGGATTTGGAGTCTAGATTCTTTGGGTTAACTATCACAGATTTAAGACATCTAGCATTTCAGTTGGCAGAAAAATACAAACTTCCGCACCGATTTAATAAGGTGCAAGAGTTAGACGGTTGGAAATGGTATTACAAATTTATGAAAAACCACCCAGAAATTGCCTTAAGAATGCCTGAACCAACATCAATGGCACGATGTAAAGGATTTAACAAAAACATTGTATCAGAATTTTTCGACAAATACGAAAAGATTCTAGAAGATTTCCAATTTGGACCTAACGAAATTTTTAACATGGATGAGACAGGTCTTAATACCGTTCATAAGCCTGCTAAAATATTAGCGTTAAAAGGAAAACATCAAGTCGGAGCAGTCACTAGCGGAGAACGTGGAATTAACACTACATGCGTTTGTTGCATGAATGCTAGTGGAGACTTTATTCCTCCAATGTTCATCTTCAAACGCAAAAGAATGACGGATATCCTTAAACGTGGTGGCCCGCCTAAAACGCTGTACACTTGTTCTGAGAGTGGGTGGATTGTCGCTTCAATCTTTGTCGAATGGTTACAACATTTCATAAATCATTTAAAATTGGAAAAACAATTGAATCATAAAATTCTATTAATATTGGATGGACATACCACACATACTAAGAATCTAGAAGCCATAAACCTTGCTAGAGAATACGGTATCCTAATGTTTTCTTTGCCGGCGCACACAACACACAAACTACAGCCTTTGGATAGATCATTCTTTAAGTCATTAAAAACTAATTTTAACAAAGAATGTGCAGTTTGGATAAGAAATCACCCTGGTGAAACATATCTGAAATTTTGGGAGTGGCATATCCTAGATCGGTTTGTATGGACATCGCTATGAAAGGTTTTGAAACTTGTGGATTGTGGCCTTGCAACAGGCATCGAATACCAGATGAAAAATATGTCGTGCTCGATGAAAATGAAATGACCCAAACTGATATGCAACTTTCGGATCCTGGTCCTTCCACAGCGAATGTTTCTTCAAATGCACACGATCAAACTGACGCATCCATCCGCACGGTTATTGAGAATTTGTCACCAATATATCGACTTCCACCGCAAACATCTAAGAAAACAAGCAAGGCCGTAGTCCGTACTGAGAGTCCATATAAAAATATGTTAGAAAATAAATTAGATGGACCAACAAAACCAAAGAAACGCTCTTTAATAGAAAAGAATTCTAATACTTGGTATTGCATTTTATGCCGCAAAGATGAAGAAAAATCAATGATTCAATGCATCAAATGCAACATATGGGTGCACGACAACTGGGCAGGTGTAGGAAAAGCCACATATTCTTACACTTGCCAACATTGCATCAGAAGTACGATTTAGGAATAGTGCGGTACGAGTTAAGACATATGGTCTTAAATCGTACTTTTTTCATTATTTTTTAAATATTTTATTTTGAGTAGTAAAACAGGGTTTCTTTAAGTATTAACACATGTCTAATGTTTATTCTATTAAAGTTTTAACAACCAAAATTTCATAGTGTTTGATGCATTTTTGAGAAATCTACAACAAGTTGTTCAAAACTGGTACGATTTGGGCAAGTTTACCCTACATCCACAAAAACTGACAGTTTGGTGCGCTTTATGGGCTGGTGGAATCATTGGTATAGAGCTATGATTACTAACTCATTCATCCCTGAATTGAATAACCATGATGTCGAAGAGATGTGGTTTCAACAAGACGGCGCAACATGTCACACACCTCGTGCCACAATCGATTTATTGAAAGACACGTTTGTTGACCGCCTAATTTCACGTTTTGGACCTGTGAATTGGCCTCCAAGATCTTGTGATTTAACACCGCTACTTTCTGTGGTGCTATGTAAAGTCATTGGTCTATGCGGATAAGCCACAAACGCTTGACCATTTGCAAGACAACATTCGCCGTGTTATTGCCGATATACGGTAACAAATGTTGGAAAAATTAATCGAAAATTGGATGTCTCGATTGGACTACATCCGCGCCAGCCGTGGCAATCGTATGCCAGAAACCATATTTAAAATGTAATGCCACAAGATTACCTTTCGGATAAATAAAATTCATGTCAATCGAATAATCCATCGTTGTTTTATTGCAACTTAAAGTTCTATACATCCAAAAAAAACACCCCTTACTTATAATAGAAAAAAACATAACGCAGCAATTTCTAAGGTTTTTTTTTTTTAAATTAGCATGGGTTATATAATACCAAATAGCGGCGGTTGTAAAATGTAAATGTGTAATGTAATATAAAATTAATCAGTAGATATTTAAATTTTCTATAAAAAAATCATTAAGCGTACCTGTGTTGTATGCTATGAGGGCCATCCATGGAAATTCTTCCAATCCTGTTTGCTTTCCAGAGGTAATCCTGGAATTCGTTGCGATGGAACCGCATACATTTAATGGTAAGAGGTGAAAATTCTTGTGACTTCTAAATCTAGCGAATGCTAGAGGAATTTTCTCCGCCAGCTGAGAAGACGATTCAGTGGTTGGCGGCGCAGGAGCAGTGTTTCTAAAATTAATAAAATACAAATGGGAAAAGCGAAACAACAAATAAATTGTAACTATGAAAAGCAGCATGATACATACGTGACACAACAAACTTTTGGTTTAATCTTATTATTCTTATATTCAAATCCACACTGGTGGTCTCGCAAAATTTTCGCGACGCTCCTAGGCCGCGGGATCGGAGTTCTGTCTAGCAATTCGGAAAAAAATGGACATTCCCGAATTCCGACGCATTTATCGCCCATAGGCATCTGGCACGATATTTCATCCCTGAAGGCTATAGAAAATGAGACAATGAACAATCGAATGACCACTGATATCAACGCTGAAGTTAATGTTGTACGTTTTTTAAAAATATTGAAATCCGTTTAGTTAGTTGTGGCGATATACTTATGTTTTGTGGATCCGCCCAGATAACTCGATTTATTTGAAAATTGCCAATAGTGTCGTCATATTGATTATAAATGTCAGGTTGCGATAAACTGTTAAAAAGGCAATTTGACATTTAATAAAAACATGCAAGACTGCATTTAAAATGGTGAGCTTGACCGGAAGTGGAAAATAATATTCTCGACACCCGATATATTCGAAAAGGAAACCAAACATTTAAATAAGCTAAACCGAACGAGACAATGAAATTGATATAAATTAAACAGTACTGCAACTATTCACTTACTTATTGTGTATCCGACGGAAATTTCGAAGATCACAGAAAAACACAACAATTTGAACATTTCAACGAACAACCTGTTGGGCCGATGATATTTCATAAACTGATTTACCAATTCGATTACTAATGGAACCATCCGTCGAGAAAGCTAATTTAAGGTAATTACAGCCTCATTTGAATTTATTTCGGCGCACTCTATTACTGAGAATTAGAGATTTAGGTTTTACAGCCCTGACCGTTGAGTTAGCAAATATATTCAAATGGAAGTTGGTCGTTATAACGTTTCTTTACTTAAATGGTGTTACAATTTCCCGTTTTATTTGCCGATTAGCAAGCAGTTACCTACGTAATGTTATTTAAAAAAATGTTTAGCACTGCGTAATAGTTTTCAAATGGATTTTAATAAAACTAAACTCAATAGAAAAAATTACAATATAAAATTGTATTTTATGCTACAAGTTTTAAATATATATTTTTCCCAACGAGCGCAACGAGTTTATAAACGTGTTACATAGTATACTTCTGCTATCGTACATAACATACACAGATCCATCAGAACTTCAATGTCAAAATACCAGCTGCATTTTAAATATCTAGCGACCATATTCGTGACTAAAATACTAAAAACGTTCGAATAAGCTCGCGATAGCGTCAATGAAGCCGATGTGCATAATTAGTTTTTTTTTTTGGAGTTGTGAAAAATGGAGCCAACAGGTGTATTTGTAAAGATTAAGAGACAATTTTGTATTGTTGGTGTACTTAAATATATATTTAACTTATAATTATTTAGTGTTATTAAGTAAATTGGGTACAGTGGAAACTGTGAACAGTGAAACTTTAAACCAAATTCCAAGATTTCATTGCAGTAAAAGTTATATCGAGGTATTTATAAATCCAAATCAATCCGTTCGGGAAGCGTTGATAACCTGAAAGAGCCTTTTTTTACTTCCCACATTCAATTTAATAAATATAGCGCCAGATTTGTGAAAATCTTGTTAGATAACAAACACGTAATCCAAAATTAGTCACATTTCAACACAACCACACAAAATCACCCGTTGACTAAAGGCATTGTTCGCTGCGATTGATGTTTAACTCATCGCATGGTTCAGCGGGTATTACTGAATAATCACGAACCAATCATCAAAATCTAACAACAAACCAAATTTAACAACAAGTGTTGAGGCATTATGAAGTTATTGACACTTTTTTCCGAAAATGTTCGGATACTCCGCACCAAATTCTATTAAGAGGACGGTAATAATAAAAATAATATTTTTCCTATCCAAATCTTTACATTACTTTTCGAGCTAGGGTACTTTGCCTTACTTAATTGGCCACGGGTACCTATATGCTGTTTACCTGTAAGGAAAGCAATTAAATCCTCAATTATTTACTGTGCATTCAATGCTATGCGATCCTTGGCATTTCCCTGCATTGAAAGTATTTTAAATTCCAAGGGTATTGGGGTATGTCTTATCACACTCAGCGTTATATTCGATGCGATTTATTATTATTATTCCGCACTAAGTAATCCCTACACGTAGTTCCCTTCCCCCCACATATGCTTCATTTATTTGGTTATATTTATGTCTTTAAGTTTTAGGTAGGTGGTGTCTTGTCAAATCTTGTTTCACGTGATATCTAGTGATACGTAAAACTGAAACTTAGCAAACTTCAAGAGAATAAAAATTAATTATTAATTA